AGCGGCTTGAAGTGGATGACTGGAGATTGGCGGGAACAGTAGTGGGCGTAGTTGTGCAATTTACCCCGACTTTTTGTGGGTAAGTACCACTACGGTCTCTGTCGGTCCCTGGACGAGAAAGCCTATATTGATTCATACTGAAATATTGGTAGCGCAAACTAACGGGGCGCAAAAGGAGGAGGCAATTAAGTGCTAGAAACAATATATACCAAAAAAGGATGATATTCACCAGAAAAACAAGTGTTGTTCGGGTATATATTCTGTGAATAAACCCAAGTTTCAGTCTGCACTTCTTTGTCATCTCCTTTTCCATCCAGCTATGGTTTTTGCTCCCAATATCTAAGTATGAATCACTTTTTAACCCTTGGGCACAGTGATGTTCCGTACTACGTCAAAAAATTTTCACTCAGAGGCATGAAAATTTCCTATTTATGAGATTTTTCTCTGCAAACGTTTACGGAATTCCCAGCATATTTCCCTGCACAACAGCGCTCATTTCCGCCTCCATTCAGGCACACACATACTACAATTACACGTGTCTCACGTACTGGCAATTTGAAATCATAACTAGCCCCTCCACTACCGCACAACAAAAGCGTGACTTTAATAATTAATATACTGTTACTACACTGCACAATGTGGGCTTCAAGTTTAAAACACCACTAGTGAATTGGAAATCGCTCCGCGTAAATATCCGAAACAAATCTCAAAGGCTATGCTTGTGTGGTGCACGCGTCAGAACCGATCACAGCAGCTGAAGGCACACTGTGACCGCTAATTATTGGACGTCAGAGGATAATTTAACCATTCCTGAAATTCCTTGCAATAACGCGAAGATTCTCTTATTCTCTTTAGCTCAAAGTGACGGGCAAAAATTACCCGAAAAAGAGGAAATTTTCTGCACAGACATCACGGATTGGGCAGCCTATACTATGAACAGCTACGCCAGTGGAACTGTAATAATAAAAACCCGGAGGCGAGTGCCCTTTAATAGCACACGGCACGCTGCTCCCACGACGGAACAGTCAGTCCGAGACCTAACTCCGCATAGAAGGCCCTCTGTTTGAACAGTCCCGAATCGCGACTGTATGTCCGGAGACCTCAGAGCGGAGTCCCACTTGCTGACCAATATTTGTATTTGTGCCACGAACCGAATCGTGTAGGGCGGCTAAACCACGACATTTGGTACGTCAGTTAAGTAAACAACAGGATAAAGCTTGTGGAGAGAGCCAGATGTTGTAGGGACGTCGGAGGCTTAACGTGGTCAGTTCAGCGGATGTAACATGGCCGAAGTTTATTAAAGTCAGTACTTAGTTGTCACTGTCTTTCTGTCTGTTTTTTTTTTATTATTGCGCCGTTATAACAACATTAGGAAGAGCTGCACGGCAAAAACAAAAACTACAACACTGACTTTCATTTTCTGTTATCGAGCGAAACTGCAAAACTATAGTCGCTAAACATCTCCAAATATTTTAGCTGTCTAAACCGATTTATTTGGTATTTCACTTTATTTTCGTTTAAAGGGGAACTCTGGTGCATTTCAGAACATATTGAGGTGCCATGTTCAAATAGTATTAAAGGTCCTGTAACGACTAGGGTGCGGTTTATTGTGCCCAGAGACTCATTAATAATTTTCACTAAGCCATAAACGATGAGTCAAAACTGAAACAGGGAGCTGCTCCATGTTGGGTAGACGATGACGCCACGAATAACACTCCACGCACAGGCGATTCTTCTGTCACGCGAAAAGCATGGTGGCGATAATTTCCGACGCGGAATCAAGCTGCGCCAGCTCATCTGAACTTATAATACCAGTAAAGATTTGAGTGATGCTTGCAGCTACTGCGTGATCGCGGAAGTACCACCTATTGATTCCGACCCCCCGGCGTGTGAAGCAGCTGACGTGCCCCGTGTCGATGGCATCGTGCCGCGGTAGAACAAAGAAAGCGCGAGGCGGAGGAGCTGGGAAAGGAGTAGAAGCGATGCGTCATGTACACAGGGTGGCGCACATTTAAAGGCGTGATTCTGTAATTGCCTACCTATATACAAATTTGTTTTATAATAAGACCAAATGTTTTGCAGTTGTAAATTCGGCACATAATAACAGAATGTCGAAGAGAACATGCGTTGAAAATTTCACTGAAACTGGTGAATGTAAACAAAAAAAAATCGCCGGAGTTCACCATTGAATGGCGCCCTTCAAATCATTCCGCACATTTACACCAGCGAAGGAAAACGAGCATTGGTCTCTATTTACAGGGTATCCTGTGCGAATCCATCGCATCCTCCTCGGAAAGTCTCTACTGGGTTGCTACATCAATTAGGGCGCTCCTCAATGTGCTCCTCCGGTACAAGGTGGAGACACTATATATACCTTCGTGGGTGCCATATTGGTTCAAACGTTCCCGTCCGTTGGCACTGCCTTGTATGCAGTGATCGACCACTTTCGGAGAAATGCACGGTATAGGTTGGCTTGGTTTATCACTTTTTACTTGTACATATAATGTCAGTAACCAATAGGTTAGCCACTAATTATTAAAAGCGATGCATGTAGTGGTGAACCAAAGGCATTTTGAGGCATTTTAGAGCGTTCCTCCTCTCTCGGGACAAACGCGTAACATACACCTCTGGCACCGAACTATAGTATACTATATTATTATATACACCAAACCTTTATTCGCCAGGAGGGCGCAGCGCCAGCAGGCGCGCTCTTTGTTCAACGAAATACTAGGCTCTCCTCGAGTGGAAGCTTCTGAGTAAACGAAAAACGCTTGCCGCGCTTTCTCAAAATGCTTAAGATAACGTCACCTGTTAAAGAACGTTGCTCGCCAACAGTAAATAAATAAATAAATAAATAAAAAGTTCGTAGAAGTTTGAAATTGCTTTTTACGCTAAGATCAAAAGTGTTTGCTTTATTGACGATCCCGAACAGAGCGGCATATCCATTTGATTGATATGTGGGGTTTAACGTCCTCAAACCACCATATGATTATGAGAGGCGCCGTAGTGTAGAGCTCCGAAAATTTCGACCACCTGGGGTTCATTAAGATGCACCCAAATCTGAGCACACGGGGCATATTCATTTGAGAGTTCAAAGAAGTGCCGTGCACCTGACCGGAGCACGGCAGTCGATGGCGTCTGTGACTCAAAGCCTTAAGTCCCGGGCAACGCCCTCCGAAGACGGAGTTACCAGCCGTCCGGCTCGTGACGTCAGTCGGTATTGAGCGCCCATTGGTGCAGGCTTGTGTACATCCGTCTTTGAGAAGAAAATGGCGCAGACTAAAGTTGTACCCGGCTAAAGTGGTTGGCAAAAACAGCACACGAAAAACTTTAAGAGGAGATCTGTAAACTAAAGTGGAAGAGATTAAAGCACCATGTGCATTATTGATCCAAGTACAATAGCCGGATTATTTTAACTAAATTCTGGCAGAGATTAAATACCGAGTCGCACACCCCGTTAACGTTCTCGGCTGGCACACTTAGTAGTTTCAGATGATTGTTGAAAGTGATCCATTCGCTTCGTGACTGTAGTTCGTTGCGCTTGAAACAGCTCTGAAAGCTGGTGATTGAAATTTGGCAACCCGTAGGGCCGAAGGTAAGGCGGAATATCCCCTACGCATAGACCTAATATATTTATTATGCAACAACTGCTGGTATCCAAGGTGCACGTCAGGCTTTTTTTTTAATACAGATTTGAGCATGAAGAGCGGTTCTTTCATTGTTGATTATTGATAGATATGTGGTGTTTAACGTGCCAAAACCACCATATGATTATGAGAGACGCCGTATTGTGAAGGGTTCCGGAGATTTCTACCACCTGGGGTTCTTTAACGTGCACCCAAATCTGAGCACACGGGCCTACAACATTTCCGCCTCCATCGGAAATGCAGCCGCCACAGCCGGGATTCGATCCCGCGACCTGCGGGTCAGCAGCCGAGTACCTTAGCCACTAGACCACCGCAGCGGGGCGGGCTCTTTCATTGTGAGACCGCATCTCTCTGCATTTCGCTCTTTACGATCTGCATGTAAGTTCCTTTTATATATAATTTTAAGTTTTCCCCGCAAGGAGAGTAGATTATGGTGGATGACATTTTCGTCATAGGTTCAGGTAGGTTCACCTATATTCCGTCATAAGACAGCACGCGCAAGATCGGAAATGGCAATTCATAGGCATACAATGGGCAAGTAATTATACGTTCCTTGAGTTCTAGCGATTAAAGAAGATGCCAGTTTTCACGTAACAAGGGCGTTGGTTAACGCCTACCTGGGCGAATTTCCTGGCTGACTGTTAGCACGGATTTGTGGCTCAATGAAAATGATTTTATTTGAGCAGGTGTCCGAAGTATGTGCTTGTGTGTTTGACGCTCAGCACAAGGCGAAGGAAATTCAGAACCCGCATTTTAGAGCCGTCATGCACGCAGTGCACTATAGCTACCCATATCATGGCACTTAGCTCAATGGAAGTCAATGCGGCACACAAAATTGGCAAAGAAGTGGGTCCTATTTTTACCTTCCCCGAATTACTGATCATGCTACCTGTCGAAAGCTGTATGCACGTTCGAGTGATTAGCAATTCCATTTAACTCCGCACTGGCACCGAATTAACGTGATGTTTGCTTTATGCGCTTTCATTTTGTGTGCGCACTTGCCACAGTAGATAATGCCCATGAAAAGTTTTCAACTATCAAGGTGATGTGATGCTCAATGCATTTGGACGCCGCGTTGTACTCAATCGGAGTTGTTTCCACGTTTCCATAGCCATAAACAGGTAATAGCTGCACTCCGTCACCGATCTGGACGCGTTGTCACTGTTAAACGATCACTCAGGGCGAGCGACTTGATGTACGTCGTCTCGACGATGGATGTCGTGCTGATGCTAAAACACCGTTCCTTATCGTTCTTAAGAGTTGCAAGACGCGTACACGTACCGCCCCGGCGCCGTACCTCTATCGGTGCGCTATCGTGGGACGCAAGCTTATCGCAGGTGCGTGTCGCGGGGGAATCCGGCCGAGCTCGGCAAGGACTCCAGAAGCCGGTCTCGCACCTGCGTCAGCGTGGGAGCGTCCACACGACGTTCCCGGACCCAGGCTGGTTCTCTCGCGAGTAGCCCTGGTCGACTGTGGGCACCAGAGGTCAACTGCACCCTTCCCGGCCATCGACGTAACGTCCGCACAGCACGTAACCTTTAACCACTGCAGCAGCACTCAGAGGCGCGAAATCAGCAGAGGCCCGACAGAGCAGCGCGCTGAAGTACGAAGGCCAAGAGACCCTCGCCGACCGACAAAAGGCGACCTCTCTATAGCCGCACAGGGTGACCCACAAACGAGAAACAACCAGGAAACTGTAGCCGCTCCCTGACGATCTGGCTGGCACCGTTAAACTGCCAAGGTAACAAGGACGTAGAGGTGAGCACGTTTCATTCTTCCTGCCTTCTGCGACATCGAGGAGCGCCGTACCTAACTACGCAGAATTGACGGCTCCAACCTGTTCTGAAACGTACTGCTCTCACTTGCGTCATGTATTATGGTGGCGTTTAAATTTTGCGGCCTAATAAATGCGCGCGAGGGGTACGAGTTCATATATTAATCTTCGAAAGCAAGCTCATGTATTATGGACGCAAGCGCACGTGCCGACACAATATCATCTCCAATATGAAAATAGTGCTGTCAGCAAACTGCCACGATAGTGATGCAATATGTTTACATCAGAAATGACTCGGGCGAGTCGTTGGAAAGAAAGTGCCGATTCGTAGCGCAGTTGACACACTGCACCGTAGGCCGCATCCTATACGTATCTAAAGTTACTCAAAACCAGTTAAAATAGCGAGACTCTCTTGGTACGCACTCTTAAAACATTAAGTGCGAGAGTTGGCGAACCTAGCTGTCTTTGGATGAAACTAATGAAACATTAGCGCAAAACCATATCTGATTATTATTTTCTTTAAAAGCTAATCGTCAACATTGTGCAAGCATGCATGGGCTGTTCAATAATGTTCTTGACAAGAAAAATAAATCTGCAACGATAGTGACAATGTCAATTTTTCTCATAAAAGTTAAAACTCTATTCCTTGGATTAGCGCACTGCCGCAAAACAAATTAGGCATATGCCACCTGTCGTCGTGAAACATAATTTTAATGCGTATTAATTGCGTTCTGGTTCCGGTGATCACGGCTGTATTTCCGATGCAGACGGAAATGCTGTAGGACCGTGTGCTCAGATTTGGGTTCACGTCAAAGAACTCCAGGTGGTCGAAATTTCCGGAGCCCTCCACTACGGCGCCTCTCATAATCATATGGTGGTTTTGGAACGTTAAACCCCACATATCAATCAAGAAAAGAACGCTGTTATCACAACTCATTTTATTTCAATCAGCCTTGCTGCTTATTGTCATTATGTCAGCCTCGGTGGATACAGAACTCGACTGCTGGCCCGAAGGTCACGGGTTCGATTCCGGCGTTTCGATGGAAGCGGAATGCGCCCCCGTGAGCGATGTCAAGGAACCTCGTGCGGCCGACAATTTTCTGAGCGCTCCACCACGCGTGCCCCATAATCCCGTCGTGATTTCGGTGCTTAAAGCATATTATTTTTACTACCATAATCGTAAAACCAAGATTCGTTGCCCGTAACGACTGCTAACAGTAATTCATTTCTTTTGCGAGATTTTCTTCGCACTGAACGCTTTTTTTTTTCTTTTCGAAACTTTTGTTGATTAAACAAGTATATAGTTCTGGTACGACCAGTGCGTTCCCGTCATTCCTGGTGTGAAAAAAAAAATCTTGGGGATCTCTTGCAGAGACGGCTGGCCAGGACCAAGTGCTTTGATAACGGTCCTTCGGCAATAGTCACTCACTGTACGCGCATGATTACATTGCGCGCGCTGAAAGGGTATCATCCGTGGAACCTTCCTTCCCGGAAACCCCGATTTAAAAAAAAAAAGTTACTTCATTTTGGCTACCCTCTCCCTGTAGGCCTGTTATCATGGCTGCAAATTTCCGCCCTTTGTTTACCCAGTTCCAACTCAGAGCGATCCTGTGTTCTATCTGCAGTTTTTCATGTTACGAGAAAGGCGCGAAATTGGGGTTGCACAAAAAGAAATACGTCAATTAAATGCTCGCCTTTATAGAATAATCGAGGTCACGCAGGATATACGAGGGAAGTCGTGTCGAATAAGAAGAGCGAGGAAGCGGTGCGCTCATTTTCTCTCCCACTTCTTTGTTCGCTTACTACAACAAGTTTCTAAATCCAGTTTACGTATAACATATCGGTTCCTCTGAGTTAAGCCATTCGTTATGTTATCTACCGACACAAATACTGCTTGCTTGCACAGGCATTTCAGACGTTTTGTAGTAAAAATCTTCGCGTAAATGCATGGAATCTGAAATAACAGGTGAAAAAATCTATACTTTTGTGTGTTATTGAATTATTGAGATCATTGTTCATGCTAGTATTCGAATCTTGATTTGTATCTTTTAAAGTGCTTCTGCTGCGAGGTGTCCATCAGAATATTCATAATCGTTTATTTCCCAGTCAGAGGCAAGACGTGAAGGAAATCCCTCGCATGTATGTGCCGTAGCCCACTGGGTGGGAAACAGTGAAGACAATCATGTTTCTTGTCGTCCGAGAGTCGGGTGGAGCGCAGTTATTGTCAGACACGTAGTACTACGTGTTACGTGGGGTGATGAAGTCTCCTTTTTGACGGAACCAAACATGAATGAGAAATAAGCGTACCACTATTGAGCCGAAAATTCGATCACTGAAGACCACAGCTTTACAAATAAATGAATTGGAGTTGTCCTTAACAGAGTCGTGGTCGAAATCTTTAATGCTACGGAGCAGCATAATAACGAAATATTTTAATTGTGTATTTCACTACCAGTTCATGAAAACTGCCTCCTCAAAACCACACGAACAACAACGTGCGACGAACAGTGCGTATGTAGCGTTTTATTATTATTATTATTATTATTATTATTATTATTATTATTATTATTATTATTATTATTATTATTATTATTATTATTATTATTATTATTATTATTATTATTGCCTTTGGGGAGCGTTTATTGAAGCAGCTGGAACATAATGAAGGAGACCTTTAAAGCGATAATCACATGAAATATAGATCACAAAACAGTTGGTATAGTGCAGCTTATGTAGACAGTATGTCCCAGGTAGCAAAGTGCATGCTCACTTTTGGGCTTATGGGAGAGAAGTCGCAGCCTTGATCAAGGCCGCTGCATTCGAATGGGGGCGCAATATATGAACGCTCGTGTGCCGTATACATTTGTGGCACGTTAAGAACCTCAGGTTGTAAACATTCATCCATTATTCCTATAAGATGGTATAGAGTTGCTCGAGTTGGAAAAAGCTCTTGCCGTTCAGCGCAAACAGAACACGGACGAGAGAAGAAAACAACATTAAACATTCAGTTGACAGGTTTGTTGGTTGTGCATTAGAGTCGTGGCGTAAGCCACCATGAGGCATCAGCCATAAATCGGACGGTACCTCATTTTAGAAATAAAATTGTGCTACGAGTTGACTACGTTCTAAACGTAGTCAGCTCGTAAAACAATATTTTTATCTCTAGAACATTTGTAAAGTTTTATCTCTGAAATGGGTGGTTCAAAAATGAACAACATTGGTAAAACAAGAATTAAAAATATAATGAATAAAAGGAAGAAAAAACATAATATGCTAATATGGATGAAAAATAAAGTGAATTTATGCCAAATCTTAACATTCTATTCGTTTTGTTTTCATTAAAAAAATCGCATACGGCTTCGCAAACGATCCTGTGACTATAAAGACCATTTCGGTTGCCCCCTAGCAAATAACCACTGGAAGGGTTAAATTTAAAGCCATCCTATGAACAGGTTCTTTTAACAATGCTTTTATTTGACTTGTAAACAATCTGCCTGTTAAAAGAATACGATGCAGAGATTCACTCTCGATTGATTGATATGTGGGGTTTAACGTCTCAAAACCATCATATGATTTTGAGAGACGCCGTATTGGAGGGCTCTGGAAATATTGACCACGTGGGGTTCTTCAACTTGCACCCAAATCTGAGCACACGGGCCTACAGCATTTTCACCTCCATCGAAATTGCAGCCGCCGCAGCCGGGATTCGATCCCGCGACGTGCGGGTCAGCAGCCGAGTACCTTAGCCACTTGATCACCGCGGCGAGGCAAGAGCACACACTTTTGTCTGTTCTGCCCTTCGCGTTAGCTAAAGAAACTGTAACCTTTTCATTATATTACTTTTAAAATATACAATAGAAAATGCTCGAGGTAGACTTGCGCAAACAAAACTACGTTGTCTCGTCGTCATCCTCGCTTCTTTTCCCCCCAATGGCAAGCAGACAAGTGGAAGGGCGGATTTGGGGGAGGGAGAAAGGGAAAGGTATTGTCTTTCGTATAGCCACCTTTTTTTTTTTTCTTTTTTACCTTGGATAGAGCGTCGCCTTGTGAATAGGCTTCGTTCCAAGTCAAGAAAAGTGCGTCGATACATGGACAGCACAAAGGCAATTCATATTATCGCGCGCAGGAATTTCACGTAAATAGGGACTACGACCGCATCTATGGTGACGGGTCATCACGCGAGTTGTTGCAACCGCGCCTGAAACAACACTAACAGACGTGGCGTCGCCCAGGGAACGCGGCTATCATTTGTTTAGCACAGCTGCGGCAACTTGGTCGCTCGTGTTTGTGTCCGGAACCTCCGGCGGCCGAGCATCATCGGTCGTGTGGCAGTATAAGGTGTTCTGTGGTGTGGCGTTGCTGGTTGCTTTTAAGGACGATAGTCTCTCATGGGGACCTTCAACGCAAAAATTTTGATCTGTCTGTCTGTCTGTCTGTCTGTCTGTCTGTCTGTCTGTCTGTCTGTCTGTCTGTCTGTCTGTCTGTACATTTGTCTGTTTGTCCGCCCTTAACGGTACTCTAAACGGCACCAAAGTGTCCAAACGGCCGACCCCATCTGCAGCACCCACCAATATTGCTCAAGATTCAGCGTTCATACTTGTGCGATTGTCAATTAAAAAGCAATTATTGCGCATATCTGAGGCACCTTAACAACATGTCATAATCTGTATACGTGTCTCTTACTATAGAAAAGGCATACATAAGTAATTATAAGGACCGTAGCATTTATCACGTTGCGCTGACCAGGCAACGCTTGCACGAAAAGGCAAGTGTTTCCAACACTTTGCTAAGGCTACACGGTGGTGGCACCTACCTGTCGCCTTGCGTTCTACACCTTATCACCGCCGAGACGGGCGTGCAGGGCGCGCGCGCTTCGTTTTCCCAAGATAACTGCCAAATAGCGCTCATGCCTCACGTTTGACGTGACTTGATGCACTCGTTCGCCTCCGCTGCACGCTCGAGGCACTCTGACGCAGCGCCTCCAGAATACCATTCACCGATTTTCTTGCGCAAAACATCAAATAAACGTTTTGTTCACTTTCTCCAGACGCGAGACTATCGTCTTTCGACGACATTTACAATGTAACATGCAGATATGGGGACAATTTTTTGTTGCGTTATTATTTAGCGTGTTCTTAAGCCTGGTTGGTGAAAAAAAAATGTGTTGCCTGTTTTGCAGTGTTTGACGTTGGTGTTGAAGTAAAGCGTCTCACAACGAAGGCGGCCGACAACTGTCCCACGCACGCGGCTATAGTACACATGCGGCAGCTACTGACGCTCGAATAGAAAACTGACCAGTTGAAGCGACTCGCAGACTTTTAGAAAGTACACACCGAATCAATTTTCAATATCGAGTCAGTTGGGCACGTGCTGTCAGAGTACATAAAAGCGAATAACAGCGAATGACGAATGAGGGATTTGTAGTATATGCGCAGAACTATGAGAGTCTTGAGGTTCTTAAGAAAGGTATACCTCGGTTGTCATAACAGTGTTGCATTATTGCCACTGCCTCACGCTGTAACTTGCGTTGTTAACCACACTGCACTTGATGAGATATTCTTGTAACAATTCTTCAGAAATTCTGGCGTGGGCCTTCTCGTCGCAATGCTATTGCCAATATAACGAGCGTCTCTACAACTTCTCGAAATTATGCCGAGACTTCGCTTAGCTGATGTTATTGAATGAGTTAGAAGAACTGAATATTTAAGAGAGACACCAGCTTAAAATTACAACATGTCTGGTGAAGACAGTCTGTCTATTTATCAATATTGTGAGATAACCTGGAAAACTGATCGGTTGTAAAAAAAAATGAAGGGTATTGTGTACGACACGAGAATGACGTGATAAAGTATATGGAATTGTGGTGGGGTAAGAGAAAGAGCAATAACATTTGATTAGTTTGGGCGTGATTTGGTCATGCTTGTAAAGCGTCAGAGTTACATTGGCGTGGGTGTAATGAAACATATATGATGTTTGGTCGGCTGAACTGGTTTGAAGTGCCCCTACAAAGATTTTCCAACACACTTGTGCTGTTATCGATGCCATAAACTATGCAGTTTGAAACCTGAACTTTCATTTTTTGACGCATTTCGCATGATACTCACACGCCTATTTAAATACCTGGATGATAACGACCTGCTTCCGAACACGATGATCAGTTTCAGGCTGAACCTATATCCCCACATATATCATGTTGCAGATCAAGCATCAAATAATTGACGTGGAGACACAATCAGCCGATGACAAGGCCATTCGAAAGACCGTAGAGCAAAGCTGATCGGGAATACAAATACTCAGTAACCTTGACATAACGTAGTGCAACATGCAGTTAGGACAAAGACACCACGTGAAACACAGCAACACCTTCATGTACCACTACTGCCGTAGAACATGCACCGAGAGTTACAAAGCGAGAGTACAGAACGATTGAAGGCAGTTTCAATACATTCATGCACTCAACGGACGCTGACACTCAGCGGAGTACACACACTCATGTGGCATGGCGATTGCGATCGTGCATACGCCACGCCGTTGACCAGCAGCTCCACTCGAACTGGCAGCGTCTAAGCGGTTGAAGAATCACTTACCGCACTGGCATCATCTTCCACACAAGCGAAAGATATATTCGTCAATTCCAATGCCACAGTCAGAAATTTTGTCTGAGGGTTAATGTCGCCGGAAGCAGATATGATCATGGTCAATTTTCGAGACCAAAGAAAAATCCAATTCGGGCCTCCCTTCGTGGCACCGAGCCGTCTGACACCGCGGCTCGAGGACCTACTCACCGAACTGCAGAGACATAGGGTCCAGAGGAGACCGCATGGTTACCTAGTAAATTACAAAGCATTATAGATTGGAAAAGCTTATGGGCGTCAGCAGGGGGGGTACAAATGTGCCACTTGCCCCCCCCCCCCCACCAAGCCACGCCAGCAGTACCCCTGAAGCCACACTGGGCTCATCTGCCCCGCCGTTATGCAACACGGCTTTGCGGTTCTCAAGCGCAATTGGTGCCGACATCCATGGAAAGAGCACGGTATCCTCCCACGCACCACACTTATCGAGTGGTAAACTTGGGGCATGGCTTCTCCTACCAAAAAAAACACGTACCCGAGCCCGATGGCGTGCAGTGACTACTATACTCTGGTCAATATTCAGACATCTGTAAATTGGGCGAGAAAAAGGCGGACCTATAGTGCATATCCAGTGGGCCTGCCCAAAGATGGTGTGACAGGGTCACTCTGTCGCAAATGATGAGCAGCGGTGGTAAACCGCGATGCTCAGCTCAGATCTAGAGTCTTGACAATCAGACGGTTCGAGGACGCTGCCAGGACTAATAACTGCTCCTGGCTGACACCTGTAGGCGTGAAACCAGCGCCATGCCTAGGCGTGGAACCAGCACCACCAAGGCCACTGAATTCTGATAATAAAGTTTCATCTCCCTTCTAACTCTCGTCAGTTTATGCTCTGGCAACGTTGAGGTATCTGAGTGAAAAAATATATATATAGCTTCGAGAGAAGTTATATTTTATTTTCGTGTCGCGCTTCCTAAATCGAACAATACAACTTGTGCAATTCGGCCAACTCATCTGCACGAATTTTACACGACTGTTATATGAAGCGAAAGCTCGAGCGTATTTGTGTCCAGTTTCCTGTTTTTATGCTCCAAATGCTAAGAATTATTTGCCGTTGCTTCGAACGAACTTTGAAACACCTGGTAAGTGTGCATGTTGTTTTGAGTTATACCGTTGTCTAGCTCGGAGTTCCAATTCAGTTTCCCTCGTGAACTCACTTGCATTCACTACAGTCATTCGACAACGTATGCCCAACGTATTGTTCGAAATTGTTCCCGTCGTGCGAAATGCTTGCTAAGGCGTGAGCATGCATCAGTTTAGTTTGTGGCTTGGTTGCCGGAAATCAATTGTTCATTGATAACGTGCTTCTTGAAATAAAAAAAAACGTATGTAAGCGCCTTTTCTGTTATTGCACATCTCGAGCACACCAACTCTGGGGATCTGGAGTTACCCGTATTCATAAACTCATGGCGCTTTGCTAGCCCATGCAGTTTTCCTTCGGAGAACAGCTGTGGAATGTGGAGCATGTTCAATCTAATGACATAGTGGTCCGTTCTCCGCATCGACAGTATTGCTTCGAATGTCTGAAAACTTGATGCAAAAAGTAATATAGAAAAAAATGTTTTATTCAGTGCTTTTCTGTAAACCTATCGATTCGCGCGTGACCATTCATTTCCATATCATCATAAACCTAGTGAGAATCGGCGCTTTCAAATTACATTAGTGGTATAACGTTGATGACTATTAAGCGAATATTAGTTAATTAGGCAGACAAATGACCAGACACGCAATTTTAGTTTCTTCCGCTTTTGCCGCAAATCTTATTCTGCAAAAAAAAAAAACCCCTATTATACCCCAACTGTTTCCGTCAAATAATAGACAGTTGTCGCTGAATAACCATGGCGTGGTATATGTTCTATGCAAACGGGACATTCTTTGTGCCGTGCGACCGAAATGCGGTGGGACCGAAACACAGTCAATAACTCTCGGATATATGTCCGCTTATCATCGACCATTCGGTTTGCTCTGCAAACACCAGTGGTGCGAGGGCGAACGGATTGTGTTATCGGCGTCGCAAGAGCACCTTTGCGCGCCGTGAGTAAATATCTTGCAAAACCCATTAGCACCACAAGATTTGCCGAGTGAACTGAAAGTGATTTCCGGAGCCCTCCACTACGGCGTCTCTCATAATCATATGGTGGTTTTGGGACGTTAAACCCCACAAATCAATCAATCAACTGAAAGTGAGCTGTTGCGGCCAGTTTGGTGGCCCTTGACTACAGCACACTTTCACATTGCTGGAAGCGAGCAGGTAAAATAAATTTAAAATAAAAAATGTGGCCACAATCCCAGTAAGTTTGCGAAACGGGCCACTTGTTGTTCTGTATAAGTGACCTGCTGTCGGCCGCATCATTTTTAGGGTGTCCCGATATGGTTTTTTTTTTCGTTTCCGTATTTTTTTATGTAAGTCCTAGCCGGCAGTGCTTCATTTATTAGATATATAAAAAATAACCTGCTATATATCAGACGGGAACCACAATGTCTTGCTAAACGCAACACAGCCAGATACTCGCAGATGTGCTTGTCGGCCGTGTATATATAAAGCTGTATGACAAGAACTGAAGTGACGGTTGAAATTCATGTTCGCATCCTTCGTATGGCTTATTTTACTTGTTGCTACTTGTTTATTGATTGTTCTCGGATGTTCTATTTCGCAACTTTGGACTTTTGGAATAGTGGTACTTTTTTTGCAAAGAATACAGCGCTGTTTCAATACTGTGACGACTTCGCAGACGGTCGCGAAGTATTAAAAGCCTTTTACATCAGACAGCAAGGGCATGTGCGTCTCACGGTTATATGGTTTACATGCTCATCGCACGAGAGGAACAAGGTGAGGACAGCGCTCTACCCTGCTTTGCATTCAGAACTCTTTGCACTGCAGGAAACGAGCGGGGGCGAAAGCATAAAAGCAGTAATACATTATAGATATAGGGCTATAAACAATCAAAACAGACGTTTTGCAAACCAATCTACAACTTACTAATTGAATTTTTTGCGCAGCTGCGTTACATCAGAAGTTAATTAATTTTGTCTAATTAAGTAGTCTTATTGACTTATTGCATACAGGAGCCAGCAACATGCATTTGGTCGCGCCGTCAACAAGTGCGGTGGCATATACTTAAAATCTGTCTAAAGTTAACTGTGGTACCCTATATTTATATAACATTTTTATCAGACAGTATTATGTTTTAAGAGCATTCATTGTTCTTTTTTTCTCTTTCTGGCTACAGGACTTTCTCTTCATTGCTATGCGGGCAAAATTATCCTGTCTGCAAATCCAGTGAGGACACGCCATATCAGGGCGCACAGCGTGGAACAAAACTACGCGCTGTAAGTGATAATGAACACGTTGCATCGGAGGCCAGCGTGGACGTTTGGGTTCCGTTTACCCTAATGCCAAGCCTCATCGGTAGACCGAGGACCTCCATTTCGTTCGTGACGACATGTCTTACCACTCGTCACGTTGGTGGGCCTACTGCCTTATCTTCTCGTTCGCCTGCCAGTTGCTTCTTGTGAGTATACCATCACTAATGCTGCACGCATGCTCTGCGCAACAGTGATCTACAAATAATTTTGTTTTATTAAACCCATATAAAAAAGACCTACGTGATTGAACACGTCACTGTGGGCGAATTTCAGGCGGGTGTCATTGCTAAAAAAAGGAAGACGAATAATTTCGCTATCTATTGTCAAATTAATGCAGTGACATTCCTAAATATAAACATTACGGCACAAGTTATGAAATTGAAAGTTGTGGTAATCATAAAAAAATATCTAGTGGCGTTGCTTCACATCAAAGCGGGGCGATGGGACGAACTGAGGTATCACTGCCGTCAAATTACTCGTTTAATTTATCTGACTGTGCGCGCGGGTCCGCCAGGCACGGTTTATAAAATACGGGAATCCGCGAATGCTGTGCCTAAACATCTTACGGCTGGAACAAAATACGCAATTTCTTATTGTAATTAGTTGCGATTGTATGGTTATAGTAGCATGGATATGTTTATAGAAGGATCGCAACCTTTTTTTTTTATGTCAGTAATGTTTGAACTTACGTCTCCCTATTTTGCTGCTTTTGTAAAGTATGCATAAATGGCTAGCTCATCTTGATAATCTCAAGGCCACCGATTTCTCTCAAGCCTTGGGTGACGAATGCTTACAACATATTCTCGTTCATAGAAACAGTCGGCCCGTCTCTTGACGTTCTTCGCTGACAGTCTCGTGCGCATGCTTCGTGCAAAAGAACTTCTAGCATTCTGGTTCTGAAGCAGGGCGCTACGACGTGATGCGATGCGCCCGCAGGTGCTGCCCGGCGCGACGCTGGAGTTTCAGGCTCGCCACCTGGCTTACGCGCCAGAAGGCGAACGCAGCGAAAAGCACGAGCACAATGGGACGTGCACCTTCCGCGGAGACCCGTACGCCTGGAACAAGTTCGTCGAGAAGGCCGCCGTGGAATGCTACATGTACACCAATGGACTACGTGAAGAGTACCAGAAAAAGTAAAGCAACCTCTACCCCTCTCTCCGGTCGGTCCACCCACCTTCTATTTTTGTTTATCTCGATGTCTATCTCGAGCTCGGACAGCAGCTCTCACACGTCAGGTGTGCAGCCATCCTAAGTTTTAACTTTCTTTCCGCACCACTCGATGGAACGAAGTTGCAAAAAGATGCCTTGTGGGCATGCGCTTGTCCTCCCCGATACGGCGAAGATACACAGAAAAAACTTGCTCGTACACGATAGTTATATTCTTTCTTTTTCTTTGTAAATGACAAGTAAATGCGTCTCGAAACCATGTTACTACACGTATTTGTTGCCTACCACCTTAAATATATATATATATATATATATATATATATATATATATATATATATATATATATATATATATATATATATATATATATATATATATATATATATATATATGAGATCAAACAGACAATAATGCCAAGGAATGTATAAAGGAAGTTATTAGACCCGATCGTAATGTAAATGTGAAGAAAGAAAAGTGGGTGAAAAGATAACTTGCCGTGAGCAAGAACTGCATATGTGACGTATGAAGCGATGGTTGGTAGAGGCCGAGAAGGAAGAAGTGAAAGAATGCATGAATTACGAACAAGAAAAAGTAAACAAAGAAAGGTTGAAAAGTCACAAATGTCAAAATTCACAATTGGTTCTACGCTCCAGTGGAGTTCCGTACACATTCAAAGACTTCAGGAGAGAGTGCAGCAGTCCGGTTAACAAAGGCGTTCGGGTGGGCGAGGCTGACTGTGGCGTTCTAGAAAAGATAACCACGTCTTGCATAACTGCACTGACCATGACACGGCTTCAGCAGCTGCGAAGAACGAACGAGGTTGGACGTCCTTGTAGCCTTTGAAGGTCAGACATCGTATGCGCCGAATTTTCTGTCGTGGGTGCTGTATTTTGTGTCGTGGCTGAGACTGAAGCATTACTTCCAGCTGGCATTTGCCAGAACCGAAGTTGATGATACGATGTCTGTGTTCCTGCATTTTGCAAATGGTAGCGTTCAGTCTGTTTCGTGGTTTTCTGTGGTGGTATCTCCGTCGGTAGGATTGTGAATGATGCCTTGATATCTGGTACAGAAGACTTACTTGACGTTTTCTTCTACGAATATGGCTCAGATGTTGACTTGGTCTTTCCTTTAGTTGGTGTCGTTCTTGACGACCATCCTTAAGCCGTAAATCTTCTTGTGATCTTATTTTAGTTCGTCGTAGTGCTTGATGTAACTGCGTACTTTCCGGAGTTCTTTGAGTTCTTGGTGGCACGGCTGATGTTGCGGAATCTGTCGAGGTGGTACTCCTTTAGTTACACGAGCCTGCTTTTTCTTCATAGTTGATGTGACTAGTAGATAGTTGGTAGTCATTGGGTTGTCGTGATTCTCGAAAGAAAATGAAGGTGGTGCACTAAAATGGACAGGGAGGTCTTTGGAGGCTCTTGCAACGCCGTTCTTAATAGACGCTTCTGGTACAGGGCAGTGCTTGACAGTTGATTCTTCCGAGCCTACTGTGTTCGGTTGGACTCTTAGGTGGCTAGGAACTCGACGGCGACACTGACAAACGCTTGATTTGGTCGGATTTTGCTTGAGATTGTTTCTCTGTCTGCGCAACTTTGGAGGTTGACTGTTCTGATGCATGAATATGGACGGTAGACCCTGGGCTTGGCTGAGTATGCTCGGAGCTTCTCCGCTCTATTCCGACCATAGTTAACGCGTGAGACGCGAGGTGGGCGTTGTGAGCGATCGAAGGGCCAAGCGACGGAAAAGTAGGAGGTGGTCGAAGTGCGCGAGACGGAAAGTACTGTGCACAGGGTGACTCCCTAATGTGAGTGCTACGATGCAGTGATGACGTAAAGGTTGGTTTTCGATCGGCCAGTTGCAAAACGCGGTGCGGCGGAGGGTACATTCTTCCTGCAAACAGATCTGGCTGCCTTTCATTGAAAGGGTGCTTTAATTGCTCTTGTTTCAAAGGCCGATTCATTTTTGGTGTCCCAATGCGTGAGCAGTGCTTTTGACTGCGGTGACCGAGCACGGTTGTCTGTGGATGGTCGGTTATAAGCGAATCTTCGTCGTAGTCGTTATTGTCTTCTTTAAACCAAATAATCATTTCTTGTTTTATCTTTTTCCATGACTCATCGTTTTGAAATATGTGGGTGAGGTAGAATTTGAAAGCCTCAGCGGAGACGTAGTCGGTAAAGTTGATGATCATCTCCCGTTCCGACCATGATGCAGCGGTTGCGTGGAGCTCGAACAGGTCAAACCAGTCCTGTACAGGTCCATCGTCCGCTGCTTCGGCGTACTTGGGGATGGGAAGGGCAGTCGATGATTCTGGCATGGTGCTGGTCGCTGTGTGCGGCCAGGAGATGATTCCGTAGTCGATGTATGGTCAGGGCGTCTCGTGGAGAACTGCGTCGAGATGAGACACTGATGACGTGGCTGGGAGGTCTTCATCCTGTCAACTCGTGTGACGCTACGATGAATGGGAGACGTGGCCTGGCTCATACGGCATGTTTATTCTATTCTGCACTTCTTCCTTCTCGGTTTCTACCAATCATCGCTTCATACGTCATATATATATATATATATATATATATATATATATATATATATATATATATATATATATATATATATATATATATATATATAGAGAGAGAGAGAGAGAGAGAGAGAGAGACTTTGATTAGTTACGGTGAAATTAGCACATCGTCAAAATTTTCGTGAAAGGCTCCGGGCTCTTCCGGAGTTTGTACGACGTTGTTGCTGTACACCCGTTTTCTAGGGTGAACAACGGACCATCGTAAGCGAATTATCATAATTACCAGGCATGCGCTATCGTGTGAGAGATTTTGGGGCCTTTCGTGGTTTAGGTGCACAACAGCGAAGCAGTCTTGTTCTCGTACTGTGGTGTGTGCAGGAGAGGGCTCCAACTCCGCAAAATATGTATGCTTGGTAACGGTTATGCTCTCTGCTGAATTACAAAATCAGTCACTTCACAGCAAATATGCACCATCAAACTAATTATTCTTAAAGAAACTTGCCAAAGCATTTAGCTATTCGCATATGCGGACAATAGCAATCAGTCACAATAGGATTATGAGGCATGTCGTAACGGAGGACTGTAGAGTAATTTTGGCCACCTCGGATTTTTTAAGTCAAGATCCACATATACCAGCATTCTTGCATTCTGAACCCAATCGAAATGCGACCGCCGCTACCTGGAACAGAACTCAGCTTCATTGTGTGCCGCCGCTGCGCAGGGTGTGCTACAAGGTCCGTTTCCCCAAGATCTGCTTGAACTGCACGAGTGATACGCGACCACCGAATGAAGAGGATTGCCACTTACCCGACATTAACAACGAGAGCAGCCCACTGTTCTTGGCCTTCCGCACCAAGGCGATCGGGCGTCTGTGGGCAAACTGCGTCCGCGAAGCCATGGCCTGCTGTCAATACATGCTGAAAACGCCGCAGAGGACGGGTGAGCGTGCTTCTATGGAGCCTCGTGATGCTTTCTTGCTGAGACACCCTGCTTGGTTGCGTACGTTAGCATTCTGAGTGGTGACGCGCACTACTGCTGCCACACGATTTCGAGCACGTTGTGAAAAGTTGTTTTTTTTTTCTGCGTTTTTTTAACCTGAAACTGTTTGATTCCGGTGTCCACCAGACTTCAGTGACGTTATTTCTACCACGGAAATGACGTCAAAAATACACGCGATCAGAAGACAGAGAGTTCCGTCAACGAGAGTCGAACCGATGACCTGTAGGCGGACGACATTGTGGGCACGCTATCCTTTGCGCCAAGGTCACAAAGACTTTGAAAACACGCCTTTTATATCTACCATTGTCATCTCGCAACGCTCTTGGCAAAGTGTGGAAATGTATCATTACCGTAACACCCACGATTAGTTCCTTCAATGCGTCTTTTCTACGCGTCCACCCTATTCTACGCGTTTCCAATAGATCTAAGTGCAATTTTCTCAAGGCCTTAACACACCGCCAGGAGGTAACCTTCCCAAAAGCGTCGACGTAGCTTATAGCACCCATCCACATTGTAAATTGCTCTACAACGCGCCTGCTTCACCTAGATGTAACTCCGCGTTCCCCACTTACGCTCGTCTCGCGAAAAATCATGGCTGGCCAACAGGGAAGACACAAAGCACATTGCGTTTTCCTCTAATCGGGCAGTGGCGTTCAATAACCATAACATGCCGCGAGTAAGCGAGCTTAGCCAAACATCGGCGTACAATCAGTCACACTCTTCCTGCTTTCACACCGCTTTCTTTGGTTCCGCCCTCACCGTTAACCATTTCAGCTACCACAGGCATACACGACCACAAGGGCATGTTCAATCATTAATTATGGACGTTAGTCGTCGGGATGGAGATGTATCACTAAGCGTCAATGCGAATGTATTTACGTTAAACGGTGCTTCAGCTGTCAAACACCCAACATACATTTTGTAAGCTGCCTTGTATGAATGCACAGTAAGCATCGAACTACTTCTGTAAGGAGACATTTTACTTTCGTGTTATGCCGGTTTCTATAACGGAGGGATCAACCTTTTTTTCGCGCCATTTTTTTATTGCAGTCATTTGATAGTTCTCCTGACGCAGTAACGTAGCCAGGGGGTGGCACACCGGGTCTATGCGCCCCACCTCCTTGCATTATTATTTTTTCAACCATGACATACAGAGCACAAAATGACACACGATCACATGTGCCTGCTAAGCCCCCACTTCAGTTCAAGGTGGTGTCCCCCCCCCCCCCAAAAAATTGTGCCAACGTCCCTGTTCTGACGCGCTATTTTCTGCTAAAGAACACCTACGTCCATGTTACCCTGGGAGATGACGGCGACCTAATCTTGTTTAGAATGAGCTGCTCTGGTCATTACCGCTTGGTTTGTGCATATTCCAGCCATGTAACATAACGCGAGCGACATCGCGCTGACCCATTGCAATGTATACCATAATATCATAATGTTCGTGCAGAAAATGCTGAAACAGTCACGATAACGCCTTGACGTCGTCTTCGGGTGACACTTTTCTTTTTGGTCAAGACGCAAAGCAGCTTCAAAGTCATACGTACTGGCTGCAGGATACATATTGAACAAACAATGCCACTGCCGAGAAGTGCATCTTCGAGATCAAAGAAGTGTATATGTAGTCTTTCTCTCTGGTGTAATTACTTCGGATTTCACTGACAAATAGAAAGTACAACACGACACGTAGCAAAATAAGTGTATCTCTCACTCTTAAACTTTCTTTCTTTTTTCCAGAGGGGGTATATTGCAATCGCACGTGGGATGGTCTCACGTGCTACGAAGATACTGACGTTAACAGGAACGTATCGAAGGTCTGTCCACGGGTTCTCTACATCTACTCGAAGCCGCACTGCGAATGTAAGTGCATGAGTTAATGTCCCCTCTACGCGCAGCTAATGCCTTCTCTATACGTAGCTTTCATAAGATGTAACCGAAGACACTGCCGGCAAGTAGTGAGACCATGGTGATGAAAAACAGCGAAGGTGGGTGGGGGGATAACATGGCCGCGACCGCATCGATAGCGGTAAAGTAATAGTGGTTACGTGACGCAATTTCCGAGCCTTTCACTCAGGGTGCCCCCGCCAACTTTGCTTAATAAATGGTGTCTTCATGCAGCTGATTGGAATGATGCGTTCATGCGGCATTTGGCAGATTGACGACTGTCGATGTCGGTGTCTTCCCAACGATAATGCATGACGAGACTCGCTATCTCGTTTTCTCAGCCACCCTCGTTACTCGAAGGAATAAGATCGTACGGTCACTGAAATACCGCAACTACTTTAATAAACGGTTTCAGGAAGACAAGATGCGGCAGCCAGCTACGCTTGGACCTTCAGCGAGGCGGTCACTAGGCACTTGATGGTAATCGCAATGGTGGATTGTGATATCGCGTGACTTAAAGGCCTAAAAAATGTTAAAACGAACGGGATCCAGCTTCAAGTGCCCAAGTCACGGGAGCTTATCTCCCCCGCCCCTTTATTTTTGTTGACGAGTGTTTTCTCCTTGTATTTTCGGGGACGATGCAGACTACTCAACAAGGTGGTGCCATGAAAACGGCTCCTGGTACCGGCTGATGAACGTTGAGCGGACCTTCTACACAAGCTGTGCGCCCAAGCCGTGGGTCAGTGGGGTCTGTGGCCAGTTTGGTTTCTCCACCCATAAACGATGTAATTAGACGACATTGCTCCAGACGCAAGCATGCTGGCCGATTATTACGCGGCTTTTTTTTTTAATTTACGTTCACGAATTCCTACTGCGTTCATATAGCGGAATGGTAAAAGAGGCCGCAATTTTCGTAATGCGTTAAAAGCTACGCCACACGTTACGCTTCGATTGTTCCGTCCAGAAAAGGTGCAGTCTTTGAAGTGCGTGATTCGCCGCGGGCAGCCCAACAGAAGCACACGTCCCACAAACAGGCAGATAAAAGATAACCGGTTCAAGATAAAAACCGTGCCTTTCAGAGATGGTAAAACAAATATACGCCAGTGTTTTCCGTTTTACTATAAGCATACTTACTTCTCTATCATGGTTCGACGAAATGGGTCTAGAGAAATAACGTTCAGCCTCTCCACGCGTAGCCATTCAGATTGAACGAATAAAAGAACCTACAGCGGGACACCACTTGTGCTTGACGGCGTTCCTTATCGCCCAAAGTCTGACCAACGAGTAAGTGGCGCCGTCTTACAAGCATGGTTATTTGCAACTGCGGAATCTAAGTCAGGCTCTTATAATTTATGCTAGATCTTAAGATTTCACGCGACATTCGGCGAAATATATTCGTATGCGATGCGTGCGACAAAATAAACCAAGTCGCAGAAAGGTGAAGGCCATGAAGCCGTTGCTGGCTACAGCTAACTGGCCTTGACATTTCTTTTTAATTGACAGTGTGTACTAAACTCACATTCTACGTCATTACCTTACTGAAAAAATATCCCTCGCCACCGCGGGATAACACTAAGTGTATAACGCCAACGCATTTCGTTGCAGATTTCTCAAACCACTGCTGTTGTATGCTTCGAAACCGGTGATAGGCGGTATTTCTACAGAACAAACATAGAAGAAAAGAAATTATACAGCAGGAAAAACAGGGATGTTAATCACTTGAGAACAACCGGTTTGCTACCCTACACATGGGAACGGGATTGAAAGATTGAGAAGTAAGAAATAAGAGAGAGATAGGATCGATGTTATTGCTACTCTGGGTGCTGCAGTAATTACGTGAACTTACTGGAGCTATGACGTTTGTTAATGAGCTTATTTCAAGTCGGGGATTGATGTCTACATGATTTCCGCTTTTTTCAGTAATAGGGAAGACATCTAATACATGCTATCTACATGCACTGTAAAGTCGCATGGGCAGAGATAAAAAGAAAAGGAAACGCTTCTAGTTAATGGGAAGTGAAGCTATGTGGTTGTATAGTAGCTCGAGCAACTTTGCATCAGTACTGATTCTACCACAATGACCACGCATGCCAGCTGTCTCATCGCATCATTTCAGGAGTACGTCGGCGTATACCACTACTCCATCGGTCTCTTCACGCTCTCGGTGTTATCGCTGATACCGGCATTGTTCATCTTCAACTGGTACAAGTGAGTCCACTTTACGCATGTCAATAAGGTCGGGACGCCTTGCATGAGCCACCTATTTATAAGCTGTTTTGTAAAGTTCATCAGTTGATATTCTTATTTTTATAAAAATTGTATATTTCATTAAAAATATATATTGGTTGTGTTTAACCACACAGAGAAGCGTATAGCTGTGCACCACAAAAATGTTTGCGTTATAAAATTATGCAGTCGCAGGGGTGAGTCAAGTTTGCACGTCACCATATTGCGTCCGATTGTGCACAGAAAGAAAGCCGATGACAACATGTCCCGTATAAAATCCTCCACTATATAAGTGCACCTGTTGACAGCATCTCTGGGGGTCAAAGCCTCCAGCTATCTCCGGCCCAAGAGATGTAGAAGCAAGTGTCGTCGGTTGATATACACTACAAATGCTGCGACATATTATACTGTTTAGTGACGACGGTACACAACTTCAGCACTCTATTGGCCTGGTTCGAGCAGCGCCGCTTAACCTTGACACTGCGTGTCGAGAGGTTGCCGTATCGCTGCCAGAAATTGATTTTTAATGCCCCCATGCGCAAACAAGACGATCGTCGCAACTTGTCGACTAAGATAAGCCTTCGCGCGCACGCTCGACGTCTTGAAAGACGTCAGGAGGAGGTCTAGCCCGTGAGGCAGGGGGAGCATTTACTGAGGAGTGAAGTCCTACCGCGCGGAGCATTTTTATCTCTGGCAGACGCCACGGCCCCGATTGGCGATAAAAGCTTTGCGGCCGCATCTGCGCGTCCTCGTAAAAGCCAGCTCGACCATTTCGTCGAGATAAGCCTCCCGCATATAAAGTGACCTGGCTCACTTCACAGCAACCGTTTGTAACCGCCTTGGCATTTTACTCCATACCAACTTTTTAAATGCGAATACAATTCTTAGTCGGGCTATTTCAGGCATCCGGCGTTGTCCGGGGTGTCCGCGCGCCAGCCTGTGTTATCTCTCCGCTCTCACTCTCTCTCATAGCAACAGCTACGGGTGCGCGCGCTTATCCTCACTCCTAGCAACCGTAGCATGTTGTGCGAGAGTGAATAAGAGAGGGTAGGTGCCATGTTTTGCCGCTCTTTCCCTCGCCGTTCGCTCTCTCTCTCCTCCCTGCGCCCCACTTCCCGTCCGCGCGCACGCCTCACTCCCGCAGTTCGCTGGCTGGGCACCTTTCAAGAACATTCGGCAATGTGTGCTCGAGACGCCGCTGTGAAACGCCAACGCCGAGCTGAGAACGCTGTTTGTTTTGTTCACTTCATATTACTTTTTAAGCGTGCACGTTAGCTACAAGAGCTGGAAACGCGTACCACGTTTTCAGCTCTAGTAGCTAGCTCGCAACAGAAAAACGCCACTTGCGGCGAACGGCGCTATTGGCTACCCGGTGTGAAAAAAAAAGAGAAAACATTATTCTTCTAACACTGGATTCTCACGTGCGAAACGACGTTACAGACGCTACGCAATGCATTCGCGCGTTTCCTCACGGTTCCTTTCGGGCAGGTGGGGGCATTTTTTTAACCACGTACCAGACCACTGCAACGACAAGTTCGCGTCACAAGAGTGAACCCAGGTCTACTTTGCGATATGAAGATACATTGAACGTAGCCAATCCTAGGTGGCAACAACTTGTAGGTTTGAGCGAGTCAATTCATTTTGCAAATGAAGCAGAGCAAAAAAAAAAGAAAACAAAGGGGTATTGATTTATACGTGTGGTTTAATGTCCCAAAACGACCATATGATTACGAGATATGCCGCAGTGGAGGGCTCCAGAAATTTCGACCACCTGTGGTTCTTTAACGTGCACCCAAACCTGGGCACGCGGGCATACAGCATTTTCGCCTCCATCCAAAATGCAGCCGCCACAGCCGGGATTTCATCCCGCGACCTGCGGGCCAGCTGCCGAGTGCCTTAGCCACTAGACCAATAAAAAAGAGGACGACGAAGGAACACACACAAGAGGAATAGCGCTGGTCCTGGTGTATGTGTTCCTTCATTGCCTTTTTTTTTTTTTTGCTCTGTTTCAAGTTATTCGCGATCCCGAATCATTTGCTTTCAACGCAGGGCATCAAACAAAACTGCCGTACATGCGTATCACCTCTTTCTCTTGTCTTCCTCGCTTTACAATTTTAAGTCGGCTTTGCCGACAGGCGCTGTGGCAATACCGTAGACACTTTCTTTCATCAGCACGTACGTACCGGGCTGGTCAAACGTTCCCAGCTAGGCCGCTATCCCATGTATTCCTATTGTAGCGGGGCCCGGGAACTTTTGACACAGCCCTGCCCCCTCTGCACTCAAGTGCTTACTTAAATGGTGAGCTCTACGAGATTCAGGTAGTGACTTGACTGCGGCGAAATTGTGCGGGGCAGCCAAATGCTAGCCCTCGCAGTTTGTCATTTGCTTTCATTTACAGGACGTACATAGTCTATGTCAAGTGCACTGTGGGCAAGCACACTTTCTAACAAATTTTTAATGAGTACGCTCACCACACGTAACATTTTCGAGGTTAATACGAATTGGCATAATTGTAAGAGGCATCATTTTGCTTCATTCAGTTTCGAGTTGCCGTATAGAAATGTTTTCTGGCCGCATATATGCATGCATGCCCATTTCTTTTGCCGCACATGTCCGTCCCGCTCCTGCTTAACTATATTCGTTCTGAAGTCAAATAATCATAACATTTTAGTGCACGTATTTCAGAAATTCAACTATAAAGATCTTTGTAAGAGTATATGGCAGCAAATCATGATATCGGGCATATCATTAGCAATGGCGATTGGCCAAACACCAAGAGCTCTTAAAGGCCAACTCCTGCGATTGTTTCACCATGCCAGGGTAATCGTGCTTTCATATCCCTGAGACACGTTTGTCATGTGCCTGATAGGTTAAATGCTAAGCCACTTCGAAAATAATTTTTAATACGCAAAAAGACATGATACCCTTGCTCGCTAGTATTCATTTTTATGCATTATAGCACACGGCATAAATATTGCCAAGTAATTTCCTTGAGCGCTGAAAAGCTGTGAAGCGCTCTTGATATATGCCTGCCATTCTGTCTTTATACTTGTAGCTAATGCCGTTCCTCCTCTAATGATTTTACAGATCAATACAGGTACCTCGCATCATGATCCACAAGCACCTTTGCTTCGCGGTCATGATGTGTGGAGTGATGTATATCATCGATCATTCGGTCTTCACGCTGGACGACGTCAAGCCTACCAAGTACACCAAGAACCTTACTCATTCTAACGCGGTGCGTCTGTCTGCGAAGTTCTTTATATAGTAATATATAAGAATAAGTTATATATATATATATATATATATATATATATATATATATATATATATATATATATATATATATATATATATATATATATATATATATATATATAAAAGGGGAAAAATGTTACTTAAGGACTCATTTTTCCATGTTTTTCGACACAATATTAATGAGATCTACAGACAATAATGCCTAGGAAAGTATAGGGAAAGTTATTAGACCGAATTGTAATTTAAATGTGAAGAGAGAAAAGTGGATGAAAAGATAACTTGCCGTGTCGGTTCCTGCCCACGGCAAGTTATCTTTTCACCCACTTTTCTTTCTTCACATAGACATTACGATTCGGTCTATTAACTTCCCCTATACTTCCTAGGGAGTATTGTCTGTTAGATCTCATATATATATATATATATATATATATATATATATATATATATATATATATATATATATATATATATATATATATATATATATATACTGCAAACGACAATGTGCGGAATCGCACCCACACGTAAATGATGTAGTGGAGGTGGTGACAACGCCAGCGCTTCCTTCTTCTTGTTCCTCATCCATCGTGGCTCATCATATCAATCGCAGGGGAATGACCAAGAAGCTTTACTATTATTTCCCAATTGTTAGTATATGTCGGTGAACTGAAATAGCCTTATAATGCTATAATGCAATTACATGCGAAGCAGGAAGATGAAGAAGAAAAGATACAAAAATAATACGTGTAAATGAGACGAAAGACGTTATAAACGTTCAGGTGAAATAGTGACTAACAGTGAATTAAGTAATGAACCAATATATCATCGAAGGTAATTTATCAAAGTAATCTTTTTGTGTCTCGGACAAAGTTAGAAACGAGGCTAAAGGCATGCATGTCTGAATGTGTGTCGATGACCTAAATGAGAGAATTATTGTGAAAGTTCATGTTAGGCCAATTTAAAATAAATAGTTTACCTTTTGTAAATCAATTGCACGATAGAGAAAAAAATGTTTAACAGTTTGAGTCACAGACTACAGTTACAGACTACAGTTGGAACATCATGATACAAATAGTGCCATGCTATACAGTCCCGTGTGAATAAAATTTAAGCTGTGGAATATGGTAGCGCTGCTTTGTAGTGTAAACTTCACATTGCCTTGACTGACACCAGTTATTATGCCTCAGAAAGCTAAAATGACTGCAGTCAAATAACACTGCTTGTTTAGGTACTTAAGACTTTCAAAATATTGCCAGACATAGGCCAAGATTAGGGGATACTGAAATGCCGTCAAAGATTGTTCGTTCTTGTGAAATCTTCCATTTCATGAAAGCGTAGTCTACGATGTCCCGGTACGCAAAGTAAGCGAAATTGCCGAAAGAGCCGAGGAACAAATGCATGCAACAATCTCAGAATATATAGTTGAGTTAAACGACGGAGCAAGTGGAGCGCGTATACTGACAGGAAGTCAATTGCACGAACAGACAAGAAAACATTTTGGGTATAGTTTTGTAAGTCCAGTATACAATCGCCAGCAACTGTTCCTGAAATACGGGTTTACCTTCGCCTTCATAAATAAAACTTGAGGGCTGCGTATACCACGGCCAATATACATAAAAAATGACGTGGGTTCTAGTGTAAATGCATAATGTGAAGGTGTTTTCCAACAAAGAAACAAATTTTGAAAAATTTTGGCATGAAGATGTCGAATCTAATACGCCCCTGACCTTTTCTTTCTGTATTTTTTTTTCTTCAAAATCAACTAAAAAGTTGGGAGGTTGTGATTATGTACGAGTATGATGTACTTTTTTATAAGCACGCAGTTTATGTCGCATGGCAAAAGTCTCGGTCATAATCCGATATGTCACACCATGGACGTTTTTTAGCTAAGTTCTGTGATGCCATAAACATGCTGGGTTTCCTCCTAGCCCTAACGCTGCGTTAGTTTTTCGGCACGCTAATCAAATACAAGATTTCCCTTGTTGCTGCAGCGGTAGGATACAAAAGAACGAAACGACGTGAAAAGCCACTGCCACCAGCGAGCGCCAGTTGCGGCAGTAGCAGCAACAACAACACTTAAAATAGGAAGCTGGATCTATCAACACACTTGCTATTGTTTGTGCAACTCGAAAAAGAGAAAAGAAACGTCGTTACTCTCACGTGCTTGGACCATGTCTTCTACGCCGGGGTCAGTAAGAATATAAATTGAACACACCATACCATTTAGTTCACGCGGCAGAGTTCCGAGAATTTTTAGTCTTTTCAGCGAACTTGTCATGGTTTAGGCTTGCCGTGCGTTTGAACATTATCATCAGTATTATCATCAGATGGAACATTATCATCATCATAAATCGACACGCGTTAATAAATTCTCCGCCTAGGCAATCAGCACAGATGGTTAACAAGAGGAATTAAAACGTGCGGCCCCTAATCAGTGTTTGCTACCCGTGTGTTCCCTTGTAAATTTTTAGAGGACCAGGGTGAGCGAATTCAATTTCGTGGCACATACCCACGATATGTGTTTCGCAGCAGAGCTGTTATTTGAGGTCGAGGTTTGCCGTGCGTCGTAGCGAGAAAGCTGAACCAGCAGGCGCTCTCTCCGTCCTATTCCTAATTGCCTTCCACTTATATTTTGCCATCAGGACACGTTTGCCGATTTGTCCAACGTGGAATGCAATAACTCTGATGGGCGAGAGAACGAGTGCAGAGAGGGAGATAGAAATAAAGAGGCAGAGAGGGAGAGATAGTCTTGGCGAATGGTGAAGCGAGAAAGATATGAATGTCAGGAAGGGAAGACAGGAAGCATAGCCATGTATTGTGTAAAGAAAAGCGTAAGTTTAAGAGTCGTCTTTTGTTTTTGACACATTATTAATGAGAACTAACAGACAAAGATGCCAAGGAAAATATAGGGGATGCTGTTAGAAGTAATTGTGTTGTAAGTGTGAAGAAAGAAAAGTGGACGAAAAGTGGCGTGACACTGACACAGAACTGCTAGCCGGCCTAGTTGGAACGAATTTATCTTTTAGCCACTTTGAGTGCGACAAACAAGGACGTAGCAAGGAGTACACATGGACGAGCGCAATCTAACAACTCAGCCTAACAACTTGTTATATTGCGCTCGTCCGTGTGAACGTCTTGCTTCGTCCTTGTTTCTCTCGCGCAATGTGGCTAAAAGATGTTACGTTGACGATTCTGGTGCCGAAGTTATGAGGCGAAATTCGAAATGGCGCGGTTCTGCGTCCAGTTTATAGCATCCTCCTTCTTCTTTAGCTATATTTAAAGAATCGTCTTACCAATTCACTGTCCTGACTAAAGAAAAAAAAGTCATATAGCAGGCAACACTTAATTGTTCCTGTTTAGCGTATCTTTAAATCTACCTCAAACACAACACACAAAATAGAAGCAGCAGATCTTTCAATGTTAGTCAATAGGTGCAATGTAGTCGACATCAGAAGGTATAACATGGGTAGATATTGAACATGCTCTAAAGGACAGAGAAAGCCTCAAAGTGGTGGAAAGATAACTATAGGCACAAGCAAAAACCAGATGTGTGCAATAAGGGACTATAAAGGTAACATCACTGTACCAATAATGGTAGGTAAGTTAAAGTAGCTTAAGAGTTTTCCAAAAATTTGTACAGTAGCCGGGACAACCAGTATGATAATGTAAGAAGACGTAGTAGCCCAAAGGAATCGGACATCCCTCCAGTTACAATAGCGGAAGTCAAGAAAGCCTTGGAGGGAAAGCAAATAGGCAAAGCCTGAGGATCGGGTAACATCATATCTGCTGAAAGACGGTGGACAGATTGCATTAGAAAAACTCGTGATCGTGTGAACCGTCTCTTGGCGGTGAGGGTACAATAATCATGTAATAAATCCAGCATCACCTTAATCTTAAGAAATGGGGTACGTATAAATGACTTTAAAAATTACGGGCACATCGGGTTATTGTTCATTGTCTACAAGCTATATATTTTCAAAGATAATAACAAATAACATTAAAACCACCTTTAGAATTCAGTCAAACAAAGTACTAAGCAGGATTTCGCACAGACCACTCAACCAGATATTGTATTCACACTATAAATCAGGTGATAACTAAATGTGTGGAATGTAACCAATACTTTTATATAGCCTCCATAGATTATGAGAAGGCATCTGATCCGATCAAAATGTCAGCAGTCATGCAGGCACTGCAGAATCAGGGCGTCGACAAAGTATACATAAAAATTCTAGAATAAATTCATAGCAGCTCCACAGCCACCATAATCCTTCATAAAGAAAGCGACAAAATACCAATAAAGAAATGTGTGAACCACTGATACACGATCTCCTCACAGCCAATCACCACATGCTTACAGGAGGTTTTCAGGCCACTAGCTTGGGAAGAGTTAGGGATAAGAGGTAATGGAGAGTACCTGAATAACCTGCGACCCACTGATGACTTTGAATTGATGAAAAAATGAGGGGATGAATTACAACTTAAGATTCCTTAAACCCTGCAATGCCCATTGCAATATATTTCATACACTGAATATTATACCTCAATAATGCTACTAAAATCTCCTATAGGTGTCACGATAAGCAACTACTGCAAATTTGGCATGCTATGAAGAAGGTACAGTGACTTATATATTATACGATAGTAATTATTTATTTGCGGTTAGTACTAATTAAGTCATGCTTTAAACAAAATTTCATTCCAATTTTTTATTATATGAACTGTACAAGCAAAGCAAAAACAGCCTTTTCTCACAATTTTTCTGAAGGCATCACTCTTCGTGGGCATTACAGGGTTAACTGGACAAGGAAAGCAGATCGAAAGCAATGAAATTTAAAGTACAGAGAAATAAAGTAATGTACAACAGTCTCGGAAGAGAACAGCGCTTTCCGATAGGTAACCAGTTACTGGAAGTGGTGAAGAAGTACGTCTACTTAGTATAGGTAATGACTGTGGAGCTGAAAGGGACCGAACTAACTAGAAAAGGAAGAATGGGGTGGGACTCATACGGCAGGTATTCTTATATCATAAATGGTAGGCTGCCACTATCGCTCAAGTGGAACGCGTGTGTCACTATAGTACCTGTACACTTACAAAGCACAGACGTGGAGGCTTACAAAGAGGGTTCAGCTTAACCTGAGGATGACACAGCGAACGACGGAATGGAAAATGATGGGTGTAACACTAAGGGACAAGAAGAGAGCAGATTGTATCAGGGAACAAACGGGTGTTAAGGACGTCATAGTTGAAATCAAGAAGAATAAATGGTCATAGGCAGGGCACGTAATGCAAAGGCAAGATAACCGTTGGTCACTGACTGGTCACTGCTTGTCAGAGGAGGCAAGCGGGTGACGTTGAGGCACAAAATTAGGTGGGCAGATGAGATTGGGAGGTTTGCGAGTATAAAGTGGCACCAGCAAGCACAGGACCGAGTTTATTGGCCGAACATGAAAAAAGCCTTTGCCCTGCAGTGGACGCGGTCAGGCTTATGACGACAGTGGCGATAAGTGCGCTGATAAATATTGCACCACACCTCAGTAATTCCTCCCTTTGTTTTTTCATTCATGTGGATGTAAAATGCTATAAGGCAAATCCTCTACCTCTCCTTACTGTTCTTGCAATGTATATATAATGTTTTATACGAATTGTGCCCATAGGCCGGTGTAAGCAAATTGGAAGAGAGACGATGCGTGCGAATGATTAATGTCATATCCGCTCATTTCCGTGTGACTGAAAACACCACTTATACTATACACTCCATTACCGTACTATATGAAAACGAAAAGTGCACGTGCCACAGTGTCACAGGTTGCACTTCTTAAGTTATACACCTGCGTACTGACTCAGCGTTCGACGCCTTGGCGCAGTGGTGGTGCAAGCTGCTGTCGGTGCTCAACCGCTACTTCATGGTGAGCCAATACACTTGGATGCTCTGCGAAGGCTACTACCTGCACCGCCTCGTGGCCCAGGCCTTCTCCAAACAGATGAATCTCAAACTTTGCTACATATTCGGCTGGGGTAAGTATACAGACCGACATACCGCTGAGTGTGGATGGACTGCACGGTAGAGATCGCTCATGCAATGGCACTGCTCTGGCTGGTTACTCTGATATATCACCGAAAGCTCCGTTAACAAAGTACAAGTCACGTTCGATATGGGCTTGCCACCTGTGAAGATAGCGTGGTGTATACGTACACCATTAGGGCCCTTGTCGAGAAGTAGGCTTCAGGGAGATTTCTTGTCCAAGCACTGTTTATTACGTCCAAATCTTTATCTTCTTTGGTAAACTGAACAACTGCGTGACAACTTGTGATCTAATGTTATCGTATACAGGAAAGTAAAATAGTTAAATAGGTAACCTTTGTAGAGTGGTAGCTCAACGCCACTCGTCATCATTGCCTTGACATCGTATTTGCGATCAAACCAAGTCGTTCTTGTCTTCCCTGTAGGCCTGCCAGCTGTTCTCGTCATTATTTACAGCATACTTCGAGCCACGCAATCTGACGACAGGTGAGCTCACTCCTCATATCCGACTAAACAAAAGTTGTTTATATACAGCCACTGTCATGTCAACAATGCAGGACACAATTATAAAAAGAAGTTTTGATGTGCGTATTTTATATATTCTCATGCCTAAAGAAACAGTTTTTTTCTGGTGATTTAACTTGCCCGAAGAACAAGTTCATTCGTTGTTCTGCAGTAATAAGCGGTAGCACATCAAACACCCGAACGTCCCAAATGTTCATTTTTGAGGACGAAGTGAAGCCAGAAAATAAACAGGCCATTTGTGTGGCCTACCATGCATATTGTTTCGACAAAACTATGGGCGAAATTGAAAATGATTTCTGCCTGTTTTATGTTTGTATTCTGTCTCTTTGTAATCTTTAATTTGCTCTGAGATTACCATGTTTATATATTTTGTCCACACATATATGGTCCGCTCATATGTGCTGTATGAGTGAAACTCCAACAATGCTACACTGGAGCTGACATTCAATACACAGAATAAGAACGTTTTCGTAACAAAGCCACCACTCCCCCAACTCTACACAAAGTGATGCGACTGATCACTCAAGCAGTAATGAACCAACGAGTACAAGTGATGGTAAAAAAAAAAAGAATTACGTTTGCCTAGTACCATCACTCGCGCACACAGCTCTAAACAATAATGAAGCAATAGAAGTATGACTAAATAGACACGACTGTGCATGGGTTAACATAATGAACTATCCCCATTCATGTGGTTCATCTTTCGACCACTGTCTTGTCGTATTTCTCGCAGTATATGTGACAGACAAAACAGGCGCAAATAATTTGGGTGATAACTAAAGGTTGCTGGTGCGGCACATTTGACTCTCAACTGATTTGGCCAATTAAATTGTGTGCAATTGATTCGGTTTGCGTGTCACTTCGAAGCACATCAACTCTCGTGGCTATCACCGCCTTCCAGGGGGCTCGCTGTGCAACGCGTAAGCTTCAGAGATTCTTTCAGTGACGACGACTATTCTGTTATGCGTCAACAGGTGCTGGAGGAACGTCATGGTCTACGACTACGCGTTCACCGGCCCCATACTGACTTGTCTTGCTGTAAGTTCCGACCTTGCTTGTTTTCTCTTTATATTGTTATCTAGCCGGTTGCACGGCTTGTGCAACTCACATTCGCTTGATTTGCGAGGTTACGCTGGAGCACAGTTTGGCACTTTCATTAGTTGGGTGGATATTGAGTAATTAACTAAAGGGCTACAAGCGGCTCGTTGAGGCCTGCTGCGGCGCGGGGAACTTCACCAGTGCGCCTGACTTGCAGCGATGCATGGATATGCGGTTCGAATCACAGGTTTCCTCTGCACTTCATGGAGGACACACAGTTGCACAATTCTGCATGATGTATACTGATGCTAAGGCAAAAAAATAAAAGTGCTAATTTGTTTTTGCTATTTCAAGGTCCATTTCACACTTCATGTGCTTTACTGCGAGCAGAATGAGCCAGGAAATTTCTGCAAGGTTACCTGGTGTTGGAGGCACTTCCATGCGAGTACTATGTGCGACTACTTTGAAAATCGCGTTGGGAATAGCAGTCGCTTGAAAACATTTCGAGGCTAATCACAAAATCAATGTTACCATGCTCAAAGAGCTGTGTGAACATGTACCTATATAGAATACACGTACAACAAAGCAATGATATTGTCGCGCGCATGGAACTGCCACTCTGGCGCTGAAGTGACATCCAGCGGAGGAAGACGACAACGTTCAGTTGTGGCTGAACTCTCTAGCTTGTGTGCTCAAGCATCAGCTAGATCCGCTGGAACAGGATAAATCTGGCGCGTAACAATAGAACACCGAAAAAAGTTTTCGCACGCAAAAAAGCTAGCTCGGAACCCTTGCGTGTACTCATACGCAGAGGTGATGATATATTTCGACACAAGTTAGGTCAAAATTTGTAAGAAATTCGCGAGAAACGCTGAGATGCCAACTTTCAACTTTGAGCGCCACATAACGCAAAACGTTTAGCTAGCCTGGAGCCACCTCTTATTGCAACTCGCTTATCGAATTGGAACACACGGTTTTGCAACTGATGAAAGAATCGTCTTTTGACGTGTGTTATCTGTTCAGTTAACAATATGTACTGACTCAGCAAAACACTTACCATAAACTGTCATAGCAGGCGCTGGAAAAGCTCCGTTATGTTTTTAGAGGAAAGACAAAACTTTCAGAGGAACGAAAAGAGCATGTGCGGGAATGAAGATGCTGATCTGAAATCTCCATGCAGTCAAGAGTGATTGCGAGGTAAAATACCACCTCTCTCATGTCCTATTCCCGGCAAGATCGGGGTATAGGTGGCAGCACTGTCCCTGCGCAAGTGTGGATAGGCGGTCGGTGGCGCGTATACAAATACACGCAGCGGCGCTTCGTTGCGTACGGTCTGAGCCGATTGTCGGTGGATAAAATACACGGACTACAGTTCACTGGTAATATCTACGCTCTTCTCTACTGAATCGGTGCACGAAGTCTATGCAACGTCACCTATAACCGCGAGTAAAGCACATTCTGCCTTCGATATGGATGCTCGGCCTGGGTGACTCTCTTCACGCTTTCCCACTAAATCACGCCTTTGATGTGTTGTTTGTACGTGAGTAGCTTTGTGTGCCACCTGCTACGCACTGCTGTAGCGTGACTGAACTACTTATTTGCATCTTTGTCATCTGCATACTACAAAAAAGAGAGAAGGAAAGATCGTAGAAACCCCGCATATCTGTGCGATTAGTTCAGTACCACCATCCGCACCTTATACATATATGATCTTTTTTATTTCTCTCTCTCTACTTCTGCTCACCATGAAATGTGGGACAGTCGATAAGTTTAGTCACGAAAGCTTAGTGGTTTACGGCGTTTTGCACTGCACTGCGTTTACCACGTGTACGCACATGTTCTTGTACCAGTAAAATATGAAAAAAAAATTATATGAGTTCCGCAGAAAGCTTTCATCGATAGATTACGTGCATATCAGTGCTACAAGAAAGGCCTGGTTAATTGCACAAGCATGTTCTTTCTTTTTTTTTTCAGACAAAATGGACCACTGCCTTCTGTCGGTCATTAAAAATGCCACACAAACGGAAGACAATGTAATAAATATGAAATTTTCAAATATACGACATCATATATAAGGCATGCCGTCTGAATCAAATTTGAACGTCTGTGCTCTTTGGCGCGTTCTTAAATCTAAGCACACGGTTGCGCACGGTAACTCTGTTTTGAGTACAGTTTAAGTACCGAAGTGGCACAGTTGATGTGATTGTAATATTTCTATGTAGTGGTACAACGGCCACATAAATACAACTAAGGCTCCTCGCATAATCGATAAACTAGAGTGCCGTAGTTGTACGCCTACCAACAGCGCACGAGTGCATGACCTAGAGCCTGTTTTGTTGTTGTTGTTGTTGTTGTTGTTGTTGTTGTTGTTGTTGTTGTTGTTGTTGTTGTTGTTGTTGTTGTTGTTGTTGTTGCTGTTGTTGTTGTTTACAACCGAGTCGCTATAAAACACTGCAGTTCACACACCATTTAATAGTCTCACGTTTGGGAGGAGGCCAAGAGCATTTTGCTATGTGCTTGAAACAGAAAGCGGCACCCGCTCTAAAATTATTCTGGTGAAAGAAGGGTGCGACGACAACAGCACTCAGGAAACTTGCCCTCGCCTATCTTATTACAATGCATTAGCAGCCGATAAACACCAAATGCTTTCATGCGTCATTTCAGGCATGCGTAGAAACACTTACACTCACGCTGACATGATCGGACAAACTACACTTTGAGAACGCGCATGACGTACGCGCACATAGAAACGCGACGTCGCTGGGAGGGATCCACACTTCACCCAGTTGCCGCGAGGCGGCGACTCTGCTCAGTCTCGAAGCTTCATTACGCCAAGCATAAATAATAGCGTTCAAGCAACGACGTACAGGCACTTGTAATCAATCGTATAGTGCCACCAAATGCAATATACGTACCTCACCGTACGTCCGCGCACGCATATGTCCCTTTCTCTTTCTGTTTGTGTACGTGTGCGTGAGTTGCGCGCACACACACGCACACACACAATGTGTATAGTGTACGTCTTACATATTGCAATCCACCGGTTCAGTGCACGCACAAGCGCCTAAATTCTTTTTTTAAATGACAAATGAAATATACTGAATTTCTTCGGTGTACAGGCGAATTCGTAATAGTATTGTTCTCAGTACAGGCGGTCGCAATATCAACCAACAACCTTGATTAGGTCGGTGCATAAAGCACTTCTCAGTGGGAGAATCATTTCATCCAGACGTGCGCGACTGTGATAACTCATCGAATTGCGCCAAGGTGGTTGTTTCCTTTCACGTCTTGTCTATTTACTCCGCAGGTCAATATTTTTTTCATGATCCACGTCATCTACATCCTGGTAACCAAGCTCCGACAGCGGAACGTCAGCGACACCGAAAACTTTAGGTAAAGTACGTATAGCTTTCCTATTTGGTGCTTTGTTTTCCTTCGGGAACATTACGCAGCTTAAACAGGCTCCACAGTTTAGACTGACAAATTATAGTTTGAAAACTGTAGTGCCATAAAATTGAACACCATAGATTTATTAATCGGTGACAGGCCTAATGTCGCAAGTTTCATTTTTAAATATCCCGTCGAAATATCTGATATTGACGTCAACGATTTCGAAATTGGTTTTTTTTTCGTATTTCGGCCACATTACCTCAACAGAAATTTCTTAAAATTGGCATATTAAGTCTCTGGCCTCCTTGGGAGCGTCGCCTTTGCGCAGCAAGCGTTTTATTTCGATAGCAATTATATTGACACTCTCGGCTGGATTTCGCCAACCACCAGCGTCCAGCGTCGGCATCACTAACCGTATATATATATATATATATGAAAAACGCAAGAAAAACTAATCCAGGAAAGTTCTCCTCCGCGCGGAGTCAAACGTCCAACCTCTTGCGAGTGCGAGGCGTAAGGCAATGAGCCACGAAGAAGCACCTCCTTCAACATTGAAACGGCAAGCCATTTATATCTACTACTTACCGTTGGCGACACCCATCTCAGAGAAACTATCATGTTTTCAGCAATACCCTGAAGCGAGATGGCGCAAAGAGCGCGCGTCATCATGCAGATCGTCACGACGCGGTGGTGCACGCTCTCAATCCCACGCATACTTTGGCCAGCAGAGAAGGGAGAGAGGTGGAAGCTCACGCGTGCGCGCGCTTATCTCGCGGAGGGGGGGGGGGGGATCATAAGTTTTGGGCTTTCGCCGGAACGATTCTGTTCATTTACCGGGCGCACAAAGGTCACTGCAATCGCTGCACAGTCTACGTTTGAGAAAATGGCGCGCTTTTCAGACACGGAGAAGTAACAACTGAGACACATATTCACGTGAGCATTGCGGGGCACGTTTCATTCTACTTGCCATTCTTCGCGGGACATTCCAATTTGTTTTGTTGCATTTATGGCTTCATCTTTGCGGCAAAGCTGTCTTTTTTTTTTATGATATCGTGAAAGTAAGATTTACTAATACGAGAAAAATCGGTGTTTTCGTCAGTGTGTCTTTTACGCTGCTCACAGGGCAAAGTGTGGTTAGTGAATAATGATTTTTGTAATAATAATAATAATAATAATAATAAAAATAATAATAATAATAGAGTGAAGCTAGCAGGAAGTTCTTGTGAAGAATTAAGTACTAGACTTTATCGTAGCCTTCACTCGCTCCGGTTGGTACATGAAATTATAGATCTCATCGAAAGCTGGTATGCATGTCTAACACTGAAGTCATATCGTTTCCAATTTTAGAATGAAAACATTTTCGACAGTGCACGTGAGGAGCCCATTCATAAAGTGTCAATGATTCATTTGAACCACTATATAATGAACGCAGATCATGTGGGGGACCAGAGCTGCCCGTGTTATCACGGGATCAGTCTATAGATTATCATGTACGTTTCGTATAAAACAAAATAACACTCCCACCCACCCTCACCCCCTTTTTTTTCTTTTCACAGAAAGATCCTGCGCGCCGTGGTGATACTGATCCCCGTTTTCGGTGTACACTTCGTGTTGACCACGTTTGTGAGCCCAGCTTCATGCACCGCTTACCTCAAGAAGCTATACGCCGAATGGAGCATCGTTGGCTTGCAGGTAGATGCTGCGGCGTTCATGGCACTTAATTATACGTACTACAACGAGCTTTCGGTGCTTCGCTAAACCTTCGTATTTTATTCATTTATTTTTTAGATCTGAATTTTTAGTGTCGTGGGATTTATTGTGGTACGCCCAGTACTGCTCGACTGCTCATAACATGAGCAATTGTGGTGGCAGCCGCATCCTATATATACAAATTGTTTCAAAAAATGTGTCCAATGTCATTAAAAAATTACAGAAAGGAGGCATCTGGGCATCTGGATGCTGCTTGCGGCGTTCCCTTTACTGTGGCAGAAAGCATGTTTAGATGTGTGCAAACATTAATTATGGCAGTAATTAGAGAAATGAAAACAATCACCTTTTAACTAGTGGAAATAGCCGAGCTAATCCATTAAGCGAATTAAAGTAGTTTCTGAAAATAGTCCCTAGCTGCTTTGAAATTTTTGAAAAGTGGCCACTGGTAATCACCGCAGAGGGATTAAATCTGGCCATTTTAGCTGTCGAAACCGAAACCCACGTACCAAAAAGCGCATCTACCATTCAGTTTGACAACGCTCTTAATGACGACGCTTTTTCCTTCACATCGGGGGAGAAGAACAAGCGAGCGTCGATGAGCGGCCTCGAAGCGAAGTGACGGTTGATAGCGGCGAGGGAAACAGTAGGGACTTTTAGAATACCGTTTGCAAGCACTGCGGGCGTTGCGGGCGCCATATGAGTTTTAGAATAGCGTTTTCCCTGCTGCGAACCGCAACGCACGATCGCAGCGACACCGTAGCCTCGAAACCAGCGCTTGCGGGCCACACGCGGGCCACCATAACCACCCGTAGCCTCGAAACCAGCGCTTGCAGGCCACACGCGGGCCACCATTACCGCACGCAATTTCGAATTTTTTGCGTGCGGTCCGCGAACGCTGACTTGCGTACGACGCATGCGCAGTGGCAGCGACCGCACCGCAAGGGCTCGCGGTGCACTATTCTAAAGCTCCCTAATGTCGTCATTGAAGGTGTTTTCGAAGTTAATGGCAGATTCGCTCTTTGGTGCGTGGGTTTCGGTTTCGCCAGCTAAATTTGCCAGTTTTAATCACTCCGTGGTGATTTCCAGTGGCCACCGTCCCAAAGTGGCTATGGACTATTCGTAGGAAGTACTTTAGTTCGCCCGTTGGACTCAATTGGCTATTTACTGCTTAAAAAGGTGATTGTTTTAACTTCTTTAATTACTACTGTAAATATTGTTTGTAAATCTCTAAAGATACCTCCTGCCACGGTAAAGGAAACACCGCAGGTAGCACGCAGATACGTCCTTTCTGTAATTTTTAAATAGTATTGGACACATTTTTTGAAACACCCTGTATATAGAGACAAATTCCGCCGGACTTACGTCACGAAAATGCGGTGGCGCTGTCGTGGTAGGCAAAAGACGCTCCGCCTACCGCAGTTTCTGCTGGCTTTTCAATTGTGCATGCGGTGTTGTTCTCAGTCAAGCAACGAGAAAAATACGGTATGACGACGAGCTGCGTCGCGGTTGGATGTGAGTCGCGTCTCACGGCGTAGTTTTGTCTGTTGGCGCACATCGCAGCCCTCCGCGTTTATGGCTCTCACAACGCTTATGGCGTCTCACAACGTCGTTTCGTTGGCGTACACCACAAACCTCAGTGCTTACGGTGGAACGATATGGCGCATGGAGGAAGGAAAAACTAAGTAGAGGCCCTGTCCTATCTCAATGCATTGCGAGAAGTGCGGCGGAAGTGACGTCAAATTTATGGGGCAAACAAAACAGCAGACGGCGTGCTCTCAGCGCTGGTTCACTTTTGTGCGGACTTATGGCCCCGGCGTAAAGTTGACGCGTATTGTATGGTTTGCATGCAGTAAAATGTTGCGAGCACACCTTTCCGAAACTGTTCGTGCGCGGCAGGCCTGAGCGCGGCGTGCTGAAATGCTCCGTGGAGTGTTTTCGTGCAACAGCACGGGAAGCACCGGCACGTGTCATGATCTAAATCATTCAGCCCCTGCATCATCGTATTCGAACTCACCCAGCAGTGACTTACGCGCTCTACTCGCCGTAAGAGTGTTGAGCCCCGTTCCATTAGTTTCGGATCGTCACGACACGCGAGCTGCGCAGCTCACGTGCTTTCCAAGCCGGAGAAAGAGTCGTGCCTTCTGCTTTACATTCGGATGTAAACAAGAGAGGAGAACTTGCCCAGTCAATATGGCCGACTTCCGGCTTCATCGCGGCTTCACAACAAGTGACGTCAGGGCCTCTCCTACCTTTCCTTCCTCCATGACCTCTCCTATATTTTTCCTTCCTCCATGATATGGCGGAACTAGCCCAAGCTGCCACTTATGGCGGAAGTTACATGCGGACGTCGCTATAATTTTACCCATAATGTCGACGTCAGCCTACCTGTGTTTAAAAACATGGAATGGGTGCGGCTTGCCACCACCATTGCTCATGTTATGAGCAGTTGAGCAGTGCTGTACGTATATATAAATGAGGTCTAGATCTGTTAGAAAAGTATCTGACTTTTTTTTGCAAACACTTGACGGATTTGTAACACGCGCGATTGCATCAGCCGACCCTGAACCTTCGTGCGCATGCGTCAATTTTTTCTCGCCTGCCACGGAGGAAGGAAAAGGTAAGGAGAGGCCCTGACGTCACTCGTTGTGAAGCCGCGATGAAGCCGGAAGTCGGCCATATTGAGTAGGCAAATTCTCCTCTCTTGTTTACATATGAATGCAAAGCAGAAGGCGCGACTCCCTCTCCGGCTCGGAAAGCACGTGGGCTGCGCAGCGCGTGTGTCGTGATGATCCGAAACTAATGGAACCGGGCTCATCACTCAGAGCCAGCGGGACACCTTCAGCGAAATCGCTTCGTCCGAGTGATAACAAAGAGTAACAGCTCGCCGACAACGAAGCAACTACGAGAGAACGCGCGCTAGATGCACTGACAACGGCGAGTGGTTTCACGTCATTAATTCAGCAACTGTACAGACAACACGATCGGTCGTGCGCCTTCTACGGTTGCATTCCGCCACGCGACTGACGCAGCGTCCTGCCACTGTGTCCGTGTTCCGCGTGAAACTCACCTGCGTCAGCATTCTGCGACCGTGGTGACTTTGAGCACGGTGCTAGTGACAGTTGAACGTGGTTGCTGTTATGTTGAGATTACATGCAATGCTGGTGGAGAGTGTACCAAGCGGAACAGAAAAGGTGTTTTAATAGCACATGCAAGTTGTTACTGTACACACACAGCATGAAACTACGTATGTGCACATGGTCCTCACGGCGTCTTGCTGGGCTCAACAGCGTCGTCCGTTGTCACAAGCAGGAGCACTGCTCAACCGTCACTGACCTGCAAGGCGTTCGTCGTCATTCAGCTTCGTCATGGTGCCCAACGCCATTTCTCTGAACACTAACTGCTTCATCCGCGTCATCCGCCGCACGACGCATGGACATGCACTTGTTCTACGCACTGTTGAAACCCCGTGATGGACAAAGAGATTTGTAAACGTTGCTAAGAGTAATGTAACAGCCAGACGAACACTGCGTAACTAATAACGCGGCGCAGAGCACAGATATTGCCCGCCACGGCTCAGCACGAGACCTGGGGAGGCACACATTCCGCCGCCAGCCGCGGCCGCTCACTGCTAGACCAGCTTCACTGCGCAACACGTAACCACAGCAACGCCGCCATTGTGCCTAGCGAATATGGCCGCCATGATGTCATTTCCGCCACATTTTTCACGCCCTGCGCCGGCTGGGCATGCCCTCTCCTTACCTTTTTTCTTCCTCCGTGTCGCCTGCCAATTGCGTCAGTCGCTTGGACGGAGCGTTTGAGTGAGGAAGTGGGCAGTGCTCTCGTCGATTTTTCATTGCAAGGAAAATGACGGAACGACTGTAGCAGTGCTACCACATCAAATTTTGCCAGAAGCTAGGCGACAGCCAAGCTGAAACGATTTGGAAGATCAAGACAGCTTTCGGTTACAATAAGGGGACAGTGTAAGCAAAATATTGAAAAAAAAAACTTTCTTCTTTTGGCGTTATTTGAAATCTGCAGCCTTTTCTGAACTCGAATCATTGGTTTGTTTGTCTTAGTACGATTTTTTTTCTCTAAAAATGACATATTTCAAACCTCGTTCGACGGCCTGCCATGCCCCCATTCTTAAGTAGCAAGGAATTTCTTGCAGTTCAAGCATCATAGCTATATGGACAAGTTACAATTTGCAAGATGGAGTGCATTTGGCGCATTCAGAAAAGAATGGGCCCAGAACTGCAGAAATGAAAGAAAGCAGAGGCATCAAGCTCTTTCTATCGGGGAATCTATATCTGGTCGAGGACGTCTTAGTGGTGTCATCATTGGCGAGCACCATTGGGCCCTTAACCACCCAGCGGTCGGAATTTAGTTGAGGTGAGGAGATTGTGCTCGAGTTTACAACGAACAAGTAGCCGTGAGAATTTTTCGAAACGGTGCCATAATAGCGGAGTTACACGCGTTTCATGATCGAAACGCGACGATCGCTTCTTTCCCTCTTTCCAACACTATCCTTTTCCAAAACCGCTTGGCCCCTCCTCGCTGAGTCACCTGAGTGCCCCTCCTCATCTCGCGTGGCATCTGGGTGCACTGATCGTTGACTGACCGCTGTTGCTGTCGTGCCGGCCCGTGCCCCTAAGCTAGCGACTTGGCGGTTGCGTTACGGGCCGCAAATGTCGATTCGCAAGCGGCAACATGACCAAGAACAGCAAGGTGCGCGTGATCAGCTGTTTGCAGAGTGACCGGAAGTCGTCGGTTGTCGTTCGGCCGATCACAGGCATCGAACGTGGGGACGTCATCTAGTTTCATTGGTGATGTCACACATGTGAGTGGCGGGAGTGACGGGCGCGCCCGCTACCTGTATCGCTGTGGTGTGTGGCATCGTTGATTGCGACGGCATTCTGCACGCGATGCGCTTGTTTACTTGAAATGTTTGGGAAAATATCGGAGGGCGTTTCGGGGCCTTTTTA